CAAGCAGCTATACCCCAGCCCCATATAAAGCTTCAATCGGTCCAGCCTCCTCACAGACCCCAAGTGCAGAGGACCGAGCACAACTGTCATGAGCCAAACAAAAAACCTGCGGAAAAAAAGTTGCTTCACCATCGTGCAGTCGTGTAATTCCAGCAGACCATGTGCATGCCTGCTGCTTCCAACCCCCTGGCTCTCACCGCACCACTTCTCCATACATTTCTTTTCCCCAGAGGCGAGCACAAATCAAAAGGAATCCCCTCGCATATACACTCAACAACTCCATAGTCAGGACTCGGAATCATCCCACTCACAAAGAAACAAAAACATCCGACCGCCTTCGATTAGCTCAAGTGCCTTGTCCTGATCAACCACCTCTTCCGTCCGCAGACGCATGCGGAGCTTCTTCAAATCTTCATAGATTGGACAAATGTCCAAGTCGATATCTCCACGATCTTCAATCTCAGCGATTGTGTCCCTCGCAGCTGCATCAACCTGTCCGCGCCATGGTTCCTGCCAAGCTATCTCGCCTGGCACTGAACCAACAGCATCTGCTGGTGCTGCAACAGCTGTAGAAACTGCCTGCGGCATATTGTCGCCGTTGCTGCCATACAATTGCTTCAAAGTTGGATCCTCCTTGGACACTATCTGTCCACCGCTAGAGAACTGCACGATGCCATTGGCACCCACGGACCCCACAAGGCCTCTCACCTCCATGGCAACAGGGGGCACAAACCGGTAAACAACTATACCATGAACCGAAAAAAAAGCATGGATATATAAAACATATATGATAACCAATATGCATTGCATTGCAAGCATGTCAAACAAGAAGAAGCAGGAGCCTACACGACAAGCGTTCAAAAAGACAAACGGCAAATGCTTTTCTCACAACTTTCGGTTTGCTCAGAGTGACAAAGCAAAATTTCCAGAACACACTGTTCGTTTCTCATGTTCAAGCTAGTGTGAAGCCACGTTTGCGCCAACAGCTCGGGCAACACCCAGGAGTATGTCTACAGGTTGCACATCCATTCGGTCGCTCCTTGTGGCGTTGCTTCTCGGTCACAATCTGGCATTTCTTGTCGGCTGCTGGCTTCTTGCGCAATATTTGCTTTGCTGCTTTGCCAACATGAGCGGCAGCAGCCGGTTTAGCCGATAATCTGCTGGCAGGACGTTTCATGCAAGAGGCAGCTGATGGCAAGTTTTTTTCATCATTCTCCACAGATTGCTTCGCTGCAGGACGCTTCATGGCCTGACCCGGAGGCCTGCCACGTCTCTTGGCAGTCTTACCTGGCTCTCCTGGAGCAGCTTCAGCAGGCAAATCTTTGCCATAGTGAGCATTTGCAAGCCGACGCACACTCTCCTGAACGCTTGCAGGCATGCCCTGCAAATCTCCCATCGGCTGATCCCCTGCAGCCGACCCAGCGTCCGTCCCCTTGCTAGCATCCAAAGTATCCTTGCTCGGCACGTCTTCCAAAGCGAGCTGTGCCATCTGTGGCTCGGCGCCCGCTGCAGCAGCCACAGACGTATCCGTCGTTGCAGCAGGCGCATCTCGCGAGGCTCCTTCAACCTGATCTGGCTTGCTTTCAGCCGAAACCTCTGTCGCCGGCACCGTCGATGCCTCTGCCCTGTCCATCAACGCACGAACCCCAGCAACCGGATTTGGCTTGGCAGGTTCTGCTGCTTGTCCAAAAATTTGCAAGTTCGGCAGCGCATCAGGCTGCCTGCCTGCCGTCTGTCCACCCAGGGCAACGGCAAACGCTGCAACCGTCTGTGCCATTTGTAAACCTGCCAGGCGAGGATCTGGTAATCCCGGCACGGCGAACATGTTCTGCTGATTCTCCAACTGCCTCTGCAACTGCACATCGCGATGGGTATTCCGCAAGGGAATGGTGCGGGCAGTTTGCCAGACCACATTCAAATCCACAGTCGCGGGCGGAGCTGCGAAACCACCAGGGGCCATCGCCTGAGCTACATCGCTCGGCAACTCTGCCACCTGGTTGGGCAACGCCTCCAAATAGCGACCTGCTGGCAATGGAATGCCAGCGTGTCCAGCCCGTGTCACTGTTGTCTTCAAGACGCTCTTGACCGTTTGTAGCAATGTCAGCAACTGTGGAATTGTCAGATTGTCCTGCTGTCCCACCAGCGAGGCAATGACAGCCATCGATGGTTCCGTCGGATGCCGCATTCCAAGGTTGTTCACTAAGTGCCGAACCAAGCGATCAACCCGGCTCACTTGAGACATCTTCCGATCAGCAAGAGCATCCCAAATTTCTTGTGACAGATATAAGGGAAAAATCCTATAGTCCTGCATGCTCGCCCTGCGCAATTGCTGGCTTTCAACCTGCGCCATGGCCACCTCCTACAAGAAGCCGATTTGAGCCATGAAATCCAACGGAGTTTCTTCTTTTCAAAGCAGATGTATCCATTTTGCAACGACAAAAAGCTAACTTGTCTAACTCGTTTTTGCTTCAACCTGCTTTCTCAAGTTATACCTTGGCCAACTTTATACATAAGTTAACATAGTTATAACTTATGTTGCCCCCATTTATAACTTAAGTTACCCCATGTTATAACTTAACTTATAACTAGGGGGCCCCACATTGTATATATATAATATAAATAGAGGCATATAAACTATATGTTTTTACCCGCGAAGATACGCTTTTTGTATTGCCCAACTAAGAAAGAACCAACTATTGCCTCCACTAGGGATACTGTACTTTGAGTGCGGGTGCTGTACAACCTATGTTATTAACAGCTGGACGTTGATGGCCGGGTCTTTGCTAGTGATCACTATCACTGACTTTTCCCCAACAGTCTTTTGATACCCATCCAAAACCCTCCCGGAAACTAACCAAGCAATGGGAAACCCAGGTGAAATATAGGACACCTACATGGACGGGGGATCTGCCGTTGTCAGGCTGGCTTGCCAGATATGGGGCAGCAGTCGTTTACACCCAAGGCTATTTAGACCTGGACATCTACAGTAAATCAGATAAATCATCAGGTCAAGTCAAGTCTATGAATATCTCTGAATCATGTCGTTTAAAGATCCTTTGTCCCACACCAATTGCCCAAAGAAGTTGGGCATTGAAGCTGGGCGAAATGCCAGGCTCCTGCCCATGACTTCCAGATGCAAGCGGAGACATTTGTGACTGGTCCGGGATCCTTGGGGATCCTCGGGGATCACGGGACAGCAGCTGGGTAGCGCTTTCAGCGTACATGAAACATGACACCATATGAAACCAACCGGTATTGCTGCGAAAACCTATGAAAACAAAAACATCCGAACACGTTCTTGAAGGGCGTCCAGATTTTAAAGTTTCAGGTCTGTGGATATGTGAGGGTGTTGCGTTTTGGGAGTGGCCCTGAACAAGCAAGCAGCTCCTAAAAATCAAATTCCCCCTGTTCTCGGTGATATGTTCGATTGATTCTTGGTGATATCCGAGTGAAAATAAAGAAAAATAAGATGCAGACCGTTTCATTCGCATGTTTCGGATGTCATGTCCAGAGACGGCCAGCAGTTTTGAGGCACATACAGGGAGCATTTTGAAAAAGTCTGAAATGTCGAGAGATTGAACATATTCATTGCTCAAAACTTGCACAATGCAATGATGGACTGACGGTCCAGCAATCTACAGAGTCACGTTAATCAAATGGCCTACAGCCAGTGTTTGTCCTATAGAAGAAGCTTCGCCACATGCGGGTAAACTGACTGGGTAGATGGGGAGAATCTGTCAGTCTGGCCTTGATTATCCCCCCTGGCCTACTCGAGTATCGGCAGAAAATGGTGCAACCTTTAGTAGTAACCAGGATTATTGTATAATTGTTACAATTATCATGATCAAATGGCCATGATTATCAATATATATATATATATATCTTTTTTTTTTTTAATCTATCTCTCTTTTTGTCTATCTATCTATCTATCTATCTATCTATCTACCTATCCATCCATCGATCCATCCATCCACCCATCCATCCATCTATCCATCTAATCCATCTAATCCATCTAATGCATCTAATCCATCTAATCCATCTATCAATCTAATCCATCTAATCCATCTAATCCATCTAATCCATCTGATCCATCTAATCCATCTAATCCATCTAATCCATCTAATCCACTAAATCCATCAAATCCATCTAATCCATCTAATCCATCTAATCGATCTAAGCGATCTAATCGATCTAATCGATCTAATCGATCTACTAATCGATCTCGATCTAATTGATCTAATCTATCTAATATATCTAATCTATCTAATCTATCTATAATCTATCTATAATCTATCTACAATCTATCTATAATCTATCTATAATCTATCTATAATCTATCTATAATCTATCTATTATCTGTCTATCTATCTATCTAGCTATCTGTCTATCTATCTATCTATCTAATATATCTAATCTATCTATCTATATATCTGTCTATCTATCTGTCTATCTATCTATCTATCAATCAATCAATCAATCAATCAATATATCTATCTATCTATCTATTTATCTATCTATCTATCTATCTATCTATCTATCTATCTATCTATCTATCTATCTAATCTATCTAATCTATCTATTTATCTATCTATCTATCTATCTATCTATCTATCTATCTATCTATCTATCTATCTATCTATCTATCTATCTGTATATCTATATATCTATCTTTGTATCTATCATACTATCATACTATCATATCTATATATATATAAAAATATATGTGTATATATTGATCTATATATTTAATATATTTAATATATATATGTATATATATATATATATATGTACATACTTCAGGTATGTTATAAATATGTATTTTATATTAACTTATACTGTCTATATATATAATACATATATGTATATACATGTATGTATACACATACATGTGGCCATGATTGGCCCACTGCTTTGGCACACCGCGTAGATTCCTCCCCACATCATGCTGCGCGGCTGCGTTCTTCCCATCCGGCCGATGAGTCGAGCCGGAGTCCAGCGAGATGCTGGCTGCACCAGCCAGAACCGAAGGACCCAGGGGCCCAAGTTTATTTATATGTGGGTGTGTCTGAAAATGGGGTTCCCTCATGTACCCTCCTTTTTTCACCAATCCCTGGTGCCTTGCAGGCATCCATATACATGCATAAGCAACGAGAATTGCCTGTCAAACGAGTTGCCGCTTTTGGTTTCCAACGAGATGTTGATCTGCGTTTTTGAGTGAATAAAAAAAAATACAATCAAGAGAAGCTTGAATAAGCACCGACGATAATGCAACTTTGTTACTGGGTTTAAGATGCGTTTGAAATGCACTTAGCTTGATTGGTCCAAATGCAGAACCATGTTTTGCAGCTTTGTTTTCGTTGATTTGAGGAAAAACATGTGACAAAAAATGTATCCAAACGGACAAAATCTTGAAATGGGTACAAAGATAACAACTATCATTGGAAAGATGGTACTTTACCCGTGGGTTTAGGGTGATGTTCCATTGCTATCTTTAGTTACTAGAGGGTACTCAGTTGCAGGATGTTAAGAGGGGTTTCTAACTGTGTATACCACCAACTACACAAGTATGGCTATATCCATCTCAGAATCGATAATGGGACAATTCTCAGGAACCCCCCATTATCCTGAGGTGAAAACACTGGTTTTTAAGTTTATATATCCTGTGGATATCCTATATCTTGAGGAAAAACCATCGCTACTCTTTACATTTTCCCAACAGCAGGCGCCGCTGGCGCCGTCTTCGCCTGCGCCAAGCGCAGCCAGTGGCAGCAGACCCTCTGCGCCTTGGAAAACGTTTGGCCTCGCGAGATACGAGTGGCTTGGAAGATGAAAAGGGAGGACAGAGGTAGTGGTCGGGGTGATAGATAGATGGTGACAGCTTGGTGTATGGCTTAAAAAACATGAATCCTAAGTTGATTCATAATCCCAGCATCCTTTTAAGCCATGTTTGGATGTGAATATCAATTATTAACACAATGACCACAAATCAAATAGAAATGGAATATCACTAGCTTTAATGTATATGCATTCAATTGCCTATACGTGTCCAGGTCATTCTCCAGTTTCTAGTTAGATGGGCCATTCGTTTTTTCTACAACACTTCGAATTGTGATCGATATATCTGTAGTGTTTTCATAGATAGTGAAATTTAGTCCCTTCCCTCTAAAATTTAAACACCCCAATCAACCATGGTAGAAATTAGGGGGATTTACACAGTCAATATGGTGTATTTAATATTAGGATGAAGGGATTAATTCATTAATGAATATTAAATCATATTGAGCCCCTTTACTAATATTGTTTAATCCCATTAAATTCCATTCATAATCCCATCGACCTAATATTAAACACCGCATAAATGGTCCCAAAGAAGTCTAAATCTACTAAACTATTGTTTCCAGGGGGTGTTTAGTACTAGGGAAGGGATTATCTAACTTTATAATCCCTGCAATGGCCATGCCACTGGAACATCTGGACCGCACCTCAACCAGGTCTACAGCGCGGCCGTCAATGCTTTGGCGCGCAGCGTGCAGTGGCGAGCTGCCCTGCAGGTGTTTCAGGACCTGACCGAAGAGGCGACGTTCGCAGAAGCGGTTTGAATTGGAGATTACAGTAATGGGCTTTTATATCATGGGAGTTTAACGTGAGATAACTAACCAACAACACCATCTTTGTATCCAATATACATGTAAACACCCATGGATTTTGCAAAAAAGCCCACCATTTATATATAAATCATTCTCCAAATGGGAAAGAATCACAGATCTCAATGTTCATTTTTTAGGACATGACATTGGAATATCCCCGCTTTCCACCAGGCGCAGCCCGATGTGGTGCTCTTCAGCAGCCTCTGCAAGGCCTGCGCTTTGGCATCGCGCTGGGCGCAGGCGTCACAGCTCTTCCTGGAGGCCACCAGGACGCCTGGTGGATGGTGGATGCCTGGTGGATGGATGACATGGATTACCCTCTGGCAATTTACCCTCTGGTAAACATACAAAAAGCTATGGAAAATCACCTTTTTAATGGGTAAATCAACTGTTTCTATGGCAATTTTCAATAGTTATGTTAAATTACCAGAGGGTAATAGTGTCTGCTGCTGAACATAGCGAAAGTTCGTTGATTTATCCATGTAGAATGATGTAGAATGGAGATTTTCCAGTTCGCTATGTAAACGTTTACCAGAGCTATGTGAAATTACAGGGAGTATTAAGAGCGGGATAAGTTGTAGAATTTGTAATGATATGTAATTAAAAGGACCGACAATATGTTCAAGGAACATGGGGATGAAGGCCACGGACATTAATAATAGAAAAAACAACATCAAAAAACGATAACAATATCCCCCTAATACTAAACCCCTCCCCCCAAAAAAAAATATACACCTCAGGTAGTTTTTGTTGTATTTGGGTGTATTTATTATTTATACAAAAATTAAAACCCTAATAAATATATATATATATATACACAACATTTCAAAATTGATTAGATATCCTTCTAAAATCGAATTAACATCTTGCCAGCAATTGGATTTCGAAGCTTCCCCCTAATAGTAAATTTAAAACCCTAATATAAAAAGCTATTTTGTTCTATTTCAAAATCGATTAGATTTCCTTTCAAAATAGAATTAAAATATTGCCAAAAATTGGATTTCAAAGCATTCCCCTAATATTAAATTATAAACCTTAATATAAAGTACCTTTTTTTGACCTTAAAAGACCGATCCTAATAAAAAACACCCCGAGGCAGGTTGACTATATAATAGTTTTTATTATTAGGGGGTGAAACTTCAGGTAGCTTCATTTTTTATTCGTTTTCCGAAGGGGATCAATTAAAAATCAAATTGGCCACCCTCAATTTTTCCAAAAATTGGAGACGGACCCTAGTTTTTGTTATTTGGGGGTTTAGTAATAGGGGGAAGGGATTGTGTCAAAATATAGTAATTACGTAGTGACAATGATAGCTTTGGTGGATGGGTTGTTCTGAAGCCAGCAGGGAATTTCAATCCACAAAAATGGGATGATATGGATAATTGTGTTTTTTTTGTGAACCAACAACATGGTTTTACGGTTATTCTGAAGCCACAACAATTGGAGATTAAAACCATGAATAGTTGTATAATTATTGTAGTATATTTTTCGATTAACTCGCAACAATGGGTCAGTATAGGGATGAAGATATGGAATTTTCTTTGGGGGGTATCCATTTTCGGGGAGAGCGCCTTTTTTTGTGAGGATACATACATGGTGGATATGAGAGGAATATGAGGATGATGTGGATGATGGCACCGCAGGAGCCTTCAGCCAGATGTCATTCTGTTTAGCACTTGCCTGAGCGCTTGCAGTACTGCAGAACAGTGGCTGATTCTGTGTTCAGCCATACATGTCTAGTGTTTTATGTCACATGTGTTTTGTCTTTCATGTTCGGTTCAATAACCATGGGGATGAAAATTGAATCACACATGCTAAACATGAAACAATTGGAAAACCAAGGTGGGAACACGCTCTGGATTTCTTTGGACAACTTCAGGAGCTGCCACTGGGGGCAGCAGGATGGGTCTGCGGGTGATTTCACCATCAGGACATCATGATTTCACCATCCAAAAATGTGGGTGTCATGGTGTTTTCTTTGAACTGTCCCTTAAACTAATTCTGAGAGACATGTCGCAACGTTGATGTGAGTAGGAGTCAAATTGTTGGTAACCTGCTGAAGAACAACTTAGTGCATTCGAATAGAGTCGAACGGATGTAGATGGCCACTCAAGAAATAGACAAAACATCTTACAAGTTGCGTTGCCGGGTTCCACATGGTTCCACATTAGTTTTCAGGGATGCATTACCCTGCAGCCTAGCAAATAGGACGCGCAGTTGCAGCCGGATGTTGTTGTGTACAACTCCTGCATCAGTGCTTGTGGCAAAGGACAAGAGTGGGAAAACGCCATGTGTCTTGGCGAGTTGGGATATACCCATCTAAAATACTTATCAAAACAAATTCAACGGGTACTGGTATATAACCGAGGATAATCTGCTGTCCATCCTTCACTTCAGCAACATTGTTTTTTCAAACACAATTAGGCTCAATCTACCCTCTGGTAATTTAACGTAGCTATGGAAAATCACCATTTTTCATGGGAAAACCCACTATAAATGGCCATTTTCAATAGCTATGTTAGTTTGCCAGAGGGTACTCTACCTTGACTTTGCAATATCATACTCGTAGCTCGCCATCTCATTCAATGACACAAACTGCACCCTACATTCGGTGCCAAGGATTTTACTCGAAGAGTTGCAGTCTGAAAATTTGCAGCCAACGCAGGCCAATCTGTTTTTGATGCCTGGTAGCGTGAAGCAGGTGTCCACAAGACACACACACAAACATATAGTACACAGGGATGCACAACTGTGGTACAATACATTGTACTATATTAATGGATATGTGTACTATGACTCTGATTGGTTATCTCGTGATGTGTAATCACAGTCGAATCCATCGTTGCCGAATTCAGCATGTGATGCTTCCTTTCTGTTGGTGGCGGCGTGGGCATTGTTTCCAGCTGCAAATCTTCATCTGTTGTTCCAAAAATAGCGGAAAGCCCTGATTTATAGCCATTATACTGGGTGAAACGATGATGAATCATCAAATTTTGCGGTGCCACATGTTCGACCAAACCCAGATTTGGACATTTGGAAATTGAACATCCTCATCATGGCCTGATGTTGTTCCGTTGGAGAAATGAATGTGGTTGTCAGTGGAAGTAATGTGTTGTCTCTTTTGCTAGAAGATATTCTTGACCGTTGTATCCTCTTTGCTGGGAACTGACATGTTCTGAAGTTTTGAGTCACTTGAATCATGCGACTGTTGATTGAACTCTGTTGGCTGAATCTTCCATGTTCTGTTCAAGCATTTGCGGGCACAAAGGCATATATTATAAGTTATAATAAAACATCAGATGAATCATGACATGGTTGCGATACTCTGATTCTGTACTTCTTCAGTGAAAACAAGGGACTTTGAACATAGTTGGCACTAATTCACAGCGACGTAGATGTTTTACAGCCGCATCTTTGGGATGAGTTGCACCCAAATTAGTGATGGTTTCAGGTTACCAGTTACCAGCCCAAACGGAGTTTGTCCCATAAGAATCCATAAAATGGGGTTTTTCCCCCATGGTTTTGGCAATGCCAAACGGGGAAACTCATGGCGAAAATGGTGATCAGGTGACCTTCAACGCAGCGTTGAGTGCCTGCGACTTGCCGGAACAGGGCAAGGGGATGCCGGGTGAACTAAGGCAGTTGTTTCAACCAGCCAATGAGGGTAATTAGGTAAGTGACTGTTTTGTTTGGGGGGTATGTTGATTCTAATTGATTATAATCTATATACGTGTTTTTCCTTTTTTCTGGTATATTAATAGATGCTTGGATAAAGCAATTGCTCATCGTTTATGGGTGATGTTCCTTTCGAAAGTTGGGGTCTTCCATTGCCATTTGGAGAACTGGAGGGTATTTATTTTACTTTGCCAGTGTTTTTTTTTTTTTCGGATGGCTTTCAAGCTTTTCCCAACAATGGATTTGAGCAGGAATGTTGGTATACATTTAGTATACATACTAGCCAACATCGCATGACCAATCATGACTAGCATCGAGCAACTAAAAGCGTTGATCTGTGGCTGGAGATCATCAGCAGCGAGGTCAAAAAGCGGGACTCTGGCAGCTCGCCATTCACCTCAAAACTCAGATGAAGGAGCGGCCGCTGAAGGTGGCAGTGATCGAAGGATGGTAAAAAGATAGTTAGGAAAACTATCAACCATGTCACAATGGTCTAGTATAACATGTCCATTTTGTGGGTGGTCAACTGAGGGTCTAGGTCTGATAGGTTGAATGGCAGAACATGATACTGCAAAGCAAGTTTGTATTGCGGCAACCAATTGGGGTGTTGCTATCTGAACAGTTCTAATCCAGTTGTGGAATAGTGATCTTCACACCATTTCACACCCATTAGCCTTTAGGAAAGTTGGTTGTTGACCACGTCAACAGAGAAAGGGGCGCGCAACCGATGCCAGATGCCCCTGAAGTCCGATGGAACAAGCAAGTTCAGCTGATTTGGGAGTACGACCCCACCAATGTTGCAGATTATATATGATTATATGGGTATGGGTCAATACCTATTAATACCATTTTTAGTGGGATGAACATCCATAAATCCCAGCTATTTTGATGTGAACTACAGGGGTACAAGGTTTTGACACACTGCCATATCACTGACAATGATTTTGTCTACGTGGAATCCTCGAAACCATGCCACACTTTTGTTTTTTTTGGGCTGGCCATTTTTCCATGATACCAACTGCCAGCAGGCGCATGGGTTCAAGCCTGCAGGAGTCGGGGCTGAGCCCTGACATGCTGAGCAAAAACTGCTTACTGGCTGCGTGCGCCTGTGCTGCCCGGTGGATTGAGGCCACCGATGATGTCAACCAGGGAGTAACCCCCCAAAAAGTGATAGCCTGATACTAGAATGGTACCCCGCCTAACTCCCTAATCAGCCCAGGGCCTGATTAGTCCGGAGTTGACATTAGAATGATCAATGGTGGCATCACCTGCGTCATCATAGGGTCCAGTCTCCATTCGTCCAGGCCTTAGAGATCTTTGCCCATGGCGAGCCTTTCGGAAAGGCGGCATCGGAAGCTCCGCAGAGCTTCGATGTCTTTTCGGTGAACCACCTGGTTTAATCAATATCAAAGAAATTCAAAGAACATATGTTATTTTGCCAAAAAAACACGTCATATCTACTAAGATCTACTAAGGTTTAGCCATGCACAGCGCAAGAGAATCTCCATTTTTCTGCAATCAATTTCCTGAACTCCATAGAAACCTTGGTTTAGCCTGGGATTTGTTCGGGGCGGATTGAGATTGCTCCACCAGCAACCTACCAAACCAGCCTATGATTTTCAGCAAAGCAGCTTTCGTTTTCCTGCTGTACCCATCAATACCCAATGTATGTGGAATATATACAAACATTAATGGAAATCTTATGGAAATCCTTCTTCACCACCCGTGATAATGGAATTTCATATATAGATATGTCCATCCATATGCATGGAAACCCTATATTAATATTAATATCCTAAAACCATCTAAAACCCATCATAAATTTGGAAACATCTGGATGATTAGGAAGGGGTAACTATCCCAAAACAGCCTGATTATTCTTATTATTATCCTGGTTTTCTTTTTCATGTTAGTGAAATATCATACTTGTTCATACCTGTTCACGACATAATAAATAAGTTTCTCCATGTCGACTTTCGTTGCTCAAGGCAGATGTGGTCAGCTCCACCGGCGTTATCATCGCCTGCGGTGCTGCCTCTGAGTGGCAGAGAGCGCTGCAGATGTTCCAACAGCTGGAGACCGGGGGGCTCTCGGACAGCATGTGGATGTTAGGCATGTTGATAAACATATGGGTGTTTCCATAGGGGATCCCCAACATGGTTGGTTTATGTTTATAAATGGAAAAACAACTATCTATAAATTGATGATGAAATGGGGTACCCCCGTTTCAGGAAACCTCCATATGTATACCCCTCGGTAATCACACAAACATCCGGATATTCATGACCTCAGCACTAAGAAAATGTAGAATAATGCAGATACATGGGATGCAAACTGAGATTTCATTATATAGTTGTTTTTTTTTAAGCCAAGACATTGATATATTACCGGTAGGAGATATGGGGCATTTGATGGGCGAAATTTGGATATCCAACAAAACTTGAAATTTTATCAGCACAAACATGTGGAAGAAATCAAACCAGTGGGCTTGGGTATAGGCTGAAACTAAAGAAGCCCATGGGACTGCACATAGCCTGGCCATTTTTTGATCGTAAACCATAACACTTCGTGCCACGACTGCCACTACGTTTGAGCACTTTCAAACTCACGTGGTCGTTGCCTCCAAATGAAATTAGTTGATTCATATTACAAGTATATCAACTGAATGTATACAATAATAATATACAATATGTTAAATTACTTTATAATATGTTAGTTCATATTGCATTATACTAGATGATATTATATGTATATAGTTTATTTTTTCTTTTACATACAACTGTATAATATATAATAAGTATGACTATATGTAGCTATAATACATATATATATACATATATTACAATATGATACAATATAGTATATTCTTATCTTTTTACATAATATCAACTAGGAGTCTGGCCTCCAAAACTTGACCACTGTTTGGAGGACCTCTCTGACCTCTCCGCGCGCAACGCCGCCATCAGCGCGCTCAGTCCGGCCGGACAGTGGCAACATGCGCTGCTGTTGCTACAGATGCTGGATGTTGCGCTGATGTTTGAGATGTTTTTATTTGGATTGGTTTAAGGGAAAATCTACAGGAAACCATCAATTTTCCCATTAAATATGGGGTTTTCCTGTAAATTTTCCCTTAAACCAATCCATTGAGGAAATGGTTCAATCATAGGAATGTGGTAAATTCAATAGCAATGTGGTAAACCGATAGTAATGTGGTAAACCCAATAGTAATGTGGTAAACCCAATCATTATGTCTTGCGAACTCAGAGTAATGTGGTAAACCCGTGGTAAACCCAATGCCATAAACCATCCCCAAATCATCAGATTTTGTATGGGTGGTTTAGACCAACCTATTACATGGTAGGTTTATAAATGGGTTTCCCACATCGAGGGATGATCTACCGGGGTAATTATATGAATTACTGGGTATACTGCACTGATATCTGGGTATACTATATGGACACAATACATGGACAAAAAATATCTGGATTTATATACAGCTATGGGAAAACCAATGGTTGGCAGAAAAATCATGATTGATAATTGTTCACCAATCAATAATTCGGATTTGGCCCAGCAAAAAGACCGATTTTGACGCAGAGTCGAACCATCTGGATTCATGAATGCCGAACTTGAAAAGAACATGTCAGAAACATCTCGACACTCAAAATGGTAGTTGTGTTTCCATTTTCATGCCATATATTGGACCAGAATGCAGAAATATTGTCCAATGAAATTGTTTTTGGACGAGGATGGGTTGGAACGGCCAATCAGTTCTGGATGATCGGGACTTCCCGAAGTGGCTTAGTTTTTTTTCGTATGACACCAAAATGACCAACAGTTGGGAGACTTAGTTTTGATCATGGCAACAGTCTGGTTACAGTCGCTACAGTATGATGATCACCAGAGGACCGTGGCCGACCTCGCTGCATTTTTGATAGTAACTAAGGTGAATCCTCAATGATTGGTTCACTTTAGGTAACTGCGAATGCTGTTTATAATTTGCCTAAAGATGGGTTCATATATAAGATCAGCAGAGATCAGCTGAAAGGAATCAAACCCTTCCAGCCCCTAGGAAGGGCTTGGCCCTCCGGCAAGCAGATAGCATCAGCTTCAACGCAACAATCGATAGCTGTGAAGAACCAGGCGCGCTTTAAAGGCAGATGCTGGATCTTGGGGTGTTTGATCGGTGGTTTTAGGCAATATTGCACTATATCTGAGATTACACCAAATGAACCAACAGAATTGACAAAGTTTATCATGATGATCAAGCATCCCTCCAAGCACATACCACGTGCTTGCCCAACTCTTTGTTGTTCCACGTTTGCACAACACTACCCATCCTGGTTGCTCCTGCTTTTGGCCATGGTTCAAAATGGAAAGACCAGACTGAGATGGTTTCAGGTGTTCCAAAAGAGGAAAGAAGGGGGCCAATGGCAACCACTTCGCAAATGCTAAGACATGAAATTTCCTCTGTTCTTTGGGAACTCCCAGGTAAATTCAAAACATATATATATATATACTGACAATCAAAAGTCACCTATTTTTCAGACAATATTGATTTTCAACATGAGATTTCCAGGAAACCAGGTGTGTTTACTTCAGGGTAGTCATGATACATCCGACAAAGTATGGGGGCGAGGTTGGGGTGAAACCGCAGTGAGACAGGATAGGCTTTGATAGAAATCAGATCTGATCTGGATCTGGTTCAATTTCTTATGATTTTTTGTTCGCTACTAGAAACACTCTTCGAAGGCCAATGGCAAGTGGCCCTTCAGCTGCTTTCGGCTGCCCAGAGTGCTCGGCTGGCTGATGTGGTGTCGTTCAACAGTGCCATCAGTTGCTGCCAGACAGGAGCTGTGGGTCTCCAAGAAGGGGATCAACAAGCTACCCGGTAACCTCCTCCATTTCGGTTGAATCTTGCTGTATGGCCATTGGTAAATTCACCAATTAGCTACAGAGTTCTTCTGATTTTCATCCATCATCCATACTCCATACTTGCTCATTCCGATGGTGCTGCTGGAACACCTACAGATGTTAATTACTACTAGTAGCAAAATGGGATTCAGCAAAATGAATGCAATGTGCATCATGACTCTGTGGCACCTCCCATCGTTTGACTGGCAGAATTGGGACCTATCCTCCGTTTCTGGCAAAACCCCGATCATATTGTTGATCATGTATATGTATTGTATATCCCACAATATCCCGTTTGCATCCACTTGATATCCCCTTAAAGAAGTCGGAATTATTTCCTCATCCCAGTTGTTTTTGGTCAGAGGTTTGGACTTCGGTCTTTCATGACAACATCCCCTCATCGTCGATGTATTTTATCACTATTTACTCCCAAACCTCTCTTAGTGTTGGATATATTGTTGTCCCACTAACATCCCCATTGTTGATTAGACACATATCCTCAATTATTTACAGTATATATATATAGCATGTTTATCAATTACTACAAATATGTACACTATATATATACAGTATTATATATATACATGTACACTGTATAATATATATATACACGTATATAGTATCTTTGCTATAATGTATATATATATATATATGTTATTGCATTGTTGTTTTAATAATTAATATGTATTGTAATTTCTTTCTTATAATATATATATACACATACATATGCATACTCAATATTCCTAACATATCATCATACACATCACCGCCGCCAGGCCTCCACTGGCGCCTAGCGCTGGCTCTGCTGTCCTCCCTCAATTCCTCCGATCTCCGGACCACAGTGGTCTCCTACAGCAGCGCCATCAGCGCGGTAGGCAACAAGTGGCACAGGGCGCTGCAGCTGGTGCAGCAGTAGCTTTGGCGATTTAAGGAGGGGTTGATGGGGATTTTTAATGGTGGGTTAGGAATAAGAATATATATATATATATATTTACTCATATTTATAGGGGTTGATTTTTAATGATTTTCAGGAGTAAGAATGGCATTTTTGGGTTTGATCGTGCTTTTTTTCTGGTTAATATAATGGTGATTGGAGAGCGATTTACACATGAAAAACAACGGAACCTTTATCGGTTGAACGGCAATGTCTGGTGGGAAATCCACAGACTCCAGCGGCTCAGGTCAGGACAAACGATGGTGAAAACATTAAACAAAGACCATGGCAACCACCAATATATTGCGTTTGTTGTTGTTTGTTTCAACATCAATATTAATTATATATATATATATATCAATATCAATATTAATTATATATATATATTTATAGACACTCGTAGAATTAGATTCCGTCAACCTCGACATAATCATACATTTCACCAGGGAAAACAACTGTCTTAGCAGGGAAGGATGGGTTTTGTGTATCCAGCCATTGAAGCCAGGGATTTGGGGATAGATCCCAATTGGAGGATTGGTCATGTTGATTTGTATCTCAGAACCTACTCAGTATTGGAATTTGAATCAAATTTCGCTGTTTATTTTTCAAATTCCCATATTTGTTTCCTAAATCTTGATTTGCTTTTTCTGAATCCCAACTTTAGTTTGTTGAGAGTTCAAATGTTTGTTTTGTTCAATTGCAGTTTGCTTCATCTCTGATTGTTCTTGCTTGCAACATCGTTCTTGCTTTTAATATCATGAGGCCCCAAATGAAGGGTTCTTAAAGCAAGGGAACCTAAAACCATTGGATAATTTTGGGGACCCTCAATTCTTGCACCCCCCCAGATCTACACCACAAGCCACATGTATATTGTATAAATAGTGGCCAACACCCTAGTTTTAATTGGTTAAATCCCCACATATCCCCAAATTTGTTGCTTAAATTGCTTTGATCATTGTAGTCTCCCTTGTTCCAGTGTTGTTTTCGCCACCACGACCCGCTGAGGTTACGAATCGCTGGTCTGCAATGCAATGTGATCTCCCAGAACGCCGCCCTCTCAGCCTGTGAGAAAGGCTGGGAAGGTGGTGGATTTCACATGATGGAATATACCCTATGGATCCCTATGGTTGTTTAACATAGCTATGGAAAATCCCAATTTTTTGGCAGGCAGATCATCATATATATCATCAGGCCATGTTCAATAGTTATGTCAAATAAGCAGAGGGCAATGGAAATATCATGGAAATATCATGGGGATATATCGGGGAATATCCAACTAACGTCTGAGCAGATGGGACAGCTTTCAATCCACTGTTGAATCATCAAATTGTTTCTGTTAACATTAAGTTAACATTGCAATTTTAGGGGTATGCTGGTATGCCATATTTCTGGACACACATATATATCAGATGGGAAGCATGAAAGGCATGAAAGGTATATGTCTTGCGTACCATAGCCTGCTGAGAGTTGGCTTGATCATCCCGGAATGAGTCGGATTCAGAAAATGTGGATATTTGCTTCGATATCTCCACACTGCAACAGGGATTGCGAGCATTGTCACTCCTTTTTGCATTGGTCCTCACCAACCTTCACACAAAATTTTGTGCAGTGGATTCGGACCAACACAGAACCAGCGACAACAAACAACAAGAATGAAGTGTTGCTTCCAACTGTAAGGAATATGATCAGCGATAGAGGCATGGAAATCTGAGCACAGGAATGAATACAACCAACTGATGATTTTTGTGACTTACGCTGATAATGATGATAATCATTATGCTGATCATCATGATTATGATTCTGATTATGATGATGAGGACTAATAGGAGGAGGAGGACGGTGATCTTGATGAAGATGGCCATGGTGCTAGCGTGGAGTTGGTATCCAAGGCTTCGTTGCGACTTGCAACATATCGCCAGCTGTTCCATACACGCAATAGGGGGACTGATGTTTCTTCCACTGGTGTCACCTGGCTTCAAAAAGTCGTGTCTATCTCTGTATACTATACATTACACACGATGGTGTATGAATAGATGATATTTACACATATTTGCATCCAATGTATTTCAGACCCATTCATTGCATGCATTTGTACGCACACACACACACACTAGACTAGACAAGAACTGGATCATTTGAGTGATCCGTTGGGAACTGAATCCCTTGAAAAACTATGTTGGGGTTCTCGGCTTAGCCCCTTGCCATGTCAGTCGCAAATGGAAAAATTCAGCAGGTACGTCGGGATGATCAGTGCCGATATCCTCCCAACTCATGAGTAGCTTCGTTGGCAGTGGTCTCATGAGTGGGCCACTGCCCCACGCAAGATATATAAAAAGGGATGTAGTAGAATTTTTACATCTGTTCAGATGTCACACACACACACACACCCGGCCGAAGCCGGGTAAACCCTGAAAGGCAAGAGAAAGAAAAAAGCGGACACACACGATGGGCAAACGGACAAAACAGCGCAGGGGGGGAAGGAACGGACCTCCAGAACCAACTTACACGGAGAAACGGACCCAACCAACACAGAGCACGCCCAGGAACCCCACGACACATTACAGAGGGGCACGGGGGACAAAGGGAAAATTAGGGACCAATGGAATTACAAAGTTGATTGGGATCCAGTCCCAAAATGCAAGGTTGTGCGTGATTCCCTCGAAGGTACGGTAGTCGATCAACGCTCGAATGGGCATTAAACAGCTTTGCAGTTCTTCACGAATTAGGTCCACAACTTGCCAACCTCACCAGATACCAAAGCAGACCACACCTGCATGAAAAGGACATGCCTGTTGCCTGAAACCATGCGTGAATGTAGCCAGCATGTGGAACTGTCAGTAATGCATCGGAAAAAAGAATTTCTGGCTGTTCCGTACAGCTTCACCTGTGCAGAGCGAAATTTCCGAGGTCTTGCAAAAGCGACGGGAGCAGCGGGGCAAAGTGGCTGGCAAACGGAATGGCCGATGGTTTCACTTTACTTAAATGAATTGCTCAATTACAAAGTGTAAATTCGGAGATCCGTTCGTCATCGTTCGTCTGCATTCACCCGGAAGAGAGTTCCCTCAAATGGGTCCATGGCACCACGTCGGAACAACCATGGTGGAGATCACACTAGACAAGAAGTGGATCATTTGAGTGATTCGTTCTGAACCGAATCCGGACCGAATCCCTTGAAAAACTATGTTTGGGTTCTCGGCTTAGCCCCTTGCCATGTCAGTCGCAAATGGAAAAAATCTGCAGGTACGTCGGGATGATCAGTGCCGATATCCTCCCAACTCATGAGTAGCTTCGCTGGCAGTGGACTCATGAGTGGGCCATTTCCCCCTGCAAGATAAAAAGTTATGTAGTAGAAGTTTAACATCTGTTCAGATCTTACACACACAAATATTAAATTTTGTTCTGAAATATGTTTTAATCTATTGTCATGTTGAAATGCCAGAACGAAGTACTGACCGATATCGGTTTCTTGAACACGGCCATAATTTGTGGTTATTATGCTTTATATTCGATTACCACCACATTTACTTATATAGTTTTGAAATTGCATCCCATCAAAAATTTCTCTCTCTCTCTCTATATATATATATATACATACACACATACATGTCCCCATTGCTGGTGGTTTTTCATCAACCTGCTGTAGGTGGTGAATGGTGCCTGGCCACTCACCTGCTCTGCGGCTTTGCGCAAAGGCGGCTTCGCCGCAGCGTGGTGAGTTTCAACGCCTGTGGCAGCGCCTGTGCCTTGGTCGTCGCAACGCGACATCACTTGACATGAAGGGGTATGTTGGTTAGTGTGATGTAGTCTGATATTAATGTATATAAAAATATCTATCAATATACATCATATATATCAATATCTTGAAACTCTGGAAATGATGATATTATGTATGATATGAGGACCTGGAAATCTTTGGATCTGAACATGATTATTGATTAATGTGTGTTTAGTCTAATGTTAATATCTTGAACATTTTGGAAATGATTTGGATTATGGATCTTGAAATGTTTAAACCTTGGGTTTGAGGTTGAGTTCGTGGACCCAGAATCAGGAGGTATTGAACACAAATGCCCCCAAAGAATTCAGAGCCTATTTATGTTATTTTTTGGGGATTGTGAATGACAGGGCCTGACGTTTTGATCAACACGCTGTTTTGATCAGCAATTTTTATATGATATTATATTATTTTATTTGTATTATGATGATATATGATGCAATATGTAATATGTATTAAAGGCCCCTGGGACGAAGGCTCCTGATCAAGCAAACCCATCTCCCCAGACTTCATGTGAAACCAACACACCTCAAACTTCTCGGCCTGGGTCATGCAACACCTGGTTCGTGGTTTTTGTTCTGGTTTTGAGTATTCACTTCAGAAGATTTCAGCACTTTCTGGAAGACTGATCCTTTTTGTTTCGATGCACATCCCATCTCAAGTGGAACTGAAAAAAAACAATTGTTCCGCAGACAAAAGTCTGATCAGCCGCTTCCATCAAAACTCGGGTCGAACAAACCTTGGATCTTTGAACTTTTGTCGCCCACAAGTATTTGTTACTTGGATATGCATTCCAGTTAGTTAGGAAGTGGTTCAGTACCGTGCACATAACCAACGTTTATACTGGATATACCCCTTAAAAACAAATAAAAAACAACATATCCAATTACTAATTGGGATTCCACCTTTTTCTCACTGGTCGGCAAAATAGAAGGACAAAAACCATTCAACAACCAACAGATGAATGATGATCAATGCTGTATCAGTCATTTGTCCATTTGTGTGTTCCACTTTCAAGACATCAGTAGCCATGTTTTGTACATTTGCATTGGTGATTTCAGATATCTGAGTTTCATTATGAAATTGATGATTTGATTTCACCACTATATAAATCACCATGGAATTGCCATTACTTGGCCATTTCGCCCAGTAAATTAGAATCAAATCACCATTACATCACCACGCGCCCAGCATCGTTGGGCCGAAGGTGAGAAGGGCGCTGTCTGGAGACAGGCCTTGGATCTTCATCGTGGCATGCAGGTGTGCTGGTGGATGGTGGATGGCCTTTCATGGTCCGTATGTGTATACAATCTGTATTTGTATTCACATTTATGTAATAGAATTAGTCTGAATCCAGTCCACACATTTAAATCACATTATATGTATGATATATGTATATATAAAATATATAATATTATATAATATATAATATTATGTAATATATATAATATTATATAATATATAATATTATATAATATATAATATTATATAATATATAATATATTATAATATAAAATATTATATAATATATAATATTATATAATATTATATTATGTAATATATAACATATATAATATAATAAATATAATATATATATATATAATATTTTATATATTATATATTTAATCCTTGTATAGGTAGTGTATATATGTATATATATTAATATATATATATATGCACCTTAGATGGTGGATCGATTGTAGTTCGTGGCCCTGCAATGTGGATTTCCCCCCTATACACATGTGATAAACACCGGGCCTCACAAATCCTGGTGTGCTGTTCCATCTCCGCTGGGTTTCTGATGAAATGATGAAGCCCGAAGCCGAGAAGCATTGCGGAAATACCCTTTGGTAACCAATCCCGCAATCGAAAATCCTCTCCTACTTAGACTTCTTTATTGTTTATTGAATGTCCCCTTGCCATGTTTGATTTTTTTCAGAAGGTACACCAACAATGTGCCATCTTGGGGGCATGATTCTCTTTGGGCCAATGCCGCAGGTGAACCGCATGCAGGCAGATGACATCAGCAACTTGCCAGGTTTATCCAGGTTTCCCATAGCCGTTTCGAGGCGATTTTGGTGAAGAATTGACAGCGGGGTCCAATGGGTGGTGGTTGCTGCCAGTCGTCCCATATCATCCTTTCCTTTTTTGCCCAAATTTTACATATAGTTTGTTTATGGACTTTGATTCAGTGGATTTTGAGTCAGCCCAAACACATCCCATAAATTGATATGAATTGCAGCCCCAAATCCCAGCGAAATTTCTGCTCCAAGGCTTCATTGCAACTTTGGGCGCAGCTGAAAAGTGCTGCCACTGGCTGCAGACCTTGCGGCTGCTGGCGATGCTGAAGGCGCCGGACATCGGCACCTGCAACTGTGCCATCAGTGCCTGCAACGATTGGGGGGGATGAGTGGTCCGGGAATAGTGCAATAGATATGGTGTGTATATATACGTAATTATGTACAGTATTATATGATATAAGATATGACACGATAATATAATATAATATAAGACAATATAATATAATATAATATAATATAATATATATATAATATTATAAATATATATAAATATATTTGATATAATATAAAAAATATAATGTAATATAATATAATATAATATAGTATAATATAATATTATATAATATAATACATTACATATTATTTACTATAATATATAATAAAATTTAATATATGTTATATAATATTATATAATCTATAATAAAATTTAATATAATATATAATAAAAAAAGAATATTTAATATATAATATAATATATAATATAATATAAAATATAAAATATACCATAATATAACATATAATATATTATATAATATAAAATAATATAATATAATATAATATAATATAATATAAATATAGTATAGTATAGTATAATATAATATTATAGAATATAAATTAAATTAAATATGTTTTAATATAACATAAGGCAATATAAGATAAAATGAAATACGATAATCTAATATAATATAATAAAATATAATTTAATATAATATAATATAATATATAAACAAATATTTTCTAATATAATCTTATAATTTTAATCTAATCTAATATATATATATAATTATATAATGTTTTTTTAATATAATTATAAAATGAACTAATATTATATGATATATATATATATATAATTGTTATGTATATTTATTGAGTTGCGGATATGGTAGTGAACCATGTTATCGCAAGTGGTGAATGAATTTGGGTGATATATGCTTGAAGATGTTGAACAGTGTTCAAAAGAAACGGTGGTTCGAGCGGTGAATGGCCCCCAAAAAGCAATTTGCCCGGTTGGTGTTTTGACAGAATTGAGCCAAAACAATTTGGGGATCAAAGAAGTGGAGAGGGGAGGGGCACAATTCCAAACCTGGATCAATAGACCACTGAACCGCTGGTTGCTTAGTTCATGTGAGACCTAAAAGGTGATAACATACTACTAAGACTACTAAGAATGGTAAATGCTCATCATGGTAAACCAGGAGTATTGATCCCCCACGGGTTGATGATTGACCATGGCTGTTGGCCATGGCTCCCGTCCAGGTGCTTGCAAGAGGAGCCAGCGTTGGCAGCATGCCATGGAAGTATATCGCTCTGTCATCGCCAGGAGCTGCTTCAATCCATTGTAGAATCCATGGGTTATAAAGTGGTGATCCATGGTTAACATATGGAGGTTTCCATATATGGGAGGTACCCCAAAATTGATGGTTTATAATTAATGGAACATTCTATTTAAAGGGATGAATTTGGGGGTACCTCATTTTTGGAAACCACATATGTTAACATGTTGTTGTTACATAATGAAATGTGAACATTATTTCTTGGATATTGGGAATGAACTTCAATCCAATTGTTTGCATCACGCACTGCAGACAGCTTGACGTTTGGCACATCTTGGACCTTGCGGAAGTGCCAAACGCCACAGATCAAACACTAGCACACGTTTATGATGTTACAATGCCGCAGCAGAGCAGGCAATTGTTTGCATCTGTCATGTTTTCTGAGTGAAAAACCCAGAATGCTCATATTTAATGTATATAATTAGACTTTTTTGGCACACTCGCCAGCCCAGTCAAGAATAGATGGCCTATATGTTGAATGCTCTTGACAGTACTTTGACAGATCCAATCCCTTTGTCCATAATATCTTTTGAATCACATTATATCATCTTATGTCTACAGTACATGTAGATATATCCCATCACATTATATACATTTATATACATGGAAAAGTACCTCCCATGGAACTTGAGGGAATTACTTCCACGTACATAAATGTATTTATATATATATATATACATATGTATACATATATATATTACATATATATATATATATATTTGAATATCATGTGGGTATATATTTATCACCCTAATATTACCCACAGACGCCGTGTGTTGCCCAGACATTAACATTGAGAATGTCGTGTTGTCATGTGTTGTCCAATATATGATAGGAGATATTGCAGAAAATACAGCGTATACGCAGTGTTTTCTAGTTTAGGCTTCAAAGTTTTCAGGGCTTAGGTTTTAGGGTTTAGGGCTTAGGGTTTGGGGTTTTAGGGTTTAGGGTTTTAGGTTTTAGGGCTCGTCGTCTGGGAAATCTCAAAACACTGGCCCTGCGCAGGTGTTTGAGCATGTTGAAGGATAATGCAAAAAAACGCCATTTGAACCTTGCGGGCAGCACACAGCGCCTGGCCGTAATATTAAATATATATATATATACATTATACACACATTTTATCCAATAATCTGTCTAATACACTCTGACATAACTCTTCTATGATGATAGGCGTCTTCGCTGCGACGTCATCACCTGGAGCTCCCTGAGCGCCGTTTTGGATGCGGCGTGTCGTACCATGGAGCTGAGACGAAACCTGGAAGAGCTTCGAAGATTTTTGCGCGGCAACGTCAAAACGTCGTGGCCGACCGAAGCCTGGAATCATGGGAAGGCCCAAATGGATAATAGTGGTTGGGAATTAATAAACCATGATTGTAAGCAAGTTTTCAGGTTAGTGAAATATGATAATCTACCCAGAATTCTGTAATTTTTGGGTGCTTTCATTGGAAACTTGATGATCTGTCATATGACGATTTGATCAGATAAATTTGGGCAATCGGGATTTTTGCCTGGAGTTTGGGATTGGGATTAAAGGGATTGAGCTAGGAATTTACTGGAATTGATGATGAATATTGATCAACAAAAAGGAGAGATTGGGAGCGAACCAGCAACATTAGGGATTTAGCCACAAGAAATTAGATTTGACCATCCAAACTGGTGATTTTTCACAAATCTCCGGGAAAAATAAACCATCTGGGATTGTTGAAGTGATGTGTTGTTTCCGGCACCGATGGTGATGTTGGCCTGAGGATTCCAACGGGATTTTAAGCCATCGCAGTGCAGATTTCTTTGGTACACTTTGGGATGAGCAATCTGTGTTTGATTTTTCGGGATCATAGTTTTATGATAGTTTTTTCACATATTCATACATATTCATGAAATTCATAGTATGATTTGTTTGGCTGGATTGTAATACCCCAGGCTGGGATGGTTTCTCTGTTTGTAGCATCATGGATTCTGTTGATGGTCCAAGGGGGTCATCGTTTCTTGCACCATGGATTGTGTCAATCAACCAAATGTAAACAAAACCATCGTATCACCGAAACAAGATCTTAATTTTTCCATGTCAAGTCAACTAGTAGTTAGTAGTTCACCAAGTCATTTTTCACTACAGCCGGCAGAATCATTACCCCCACCCATTCCGCTTGTTCATTACCAAAATAAAGGATCAACCAACTTCATATTTTGAACTGTTTGGTCACAAGTTTGAAAAATGGAAATGGGTTTACCCTGCTCCTTGGGTTTTCTATCCGTCTTACCGCTACTACTTCCACTCACGAACATCCTCAACATGTTCGACTTCATTACAAGGTGCGCCCAGTGCTGGGAGATGGGTGTGAACTTGGCAGTCTTCAAAATTTGTTTTCTTGGAAAGCTTCAGAATGGATGTGTTCATTATTTATATCTATCTATCTATTTATATTTCTATATATCTATATATTTATATATCTATATATCTATATATCGATATATCTATCTATGTATATATATATATATTATCTATATTTGTATGTATATATATATATGTACATACATGCATTTATATAAATCTCAAAAGACTTCCCAAAATACTTCAACCTTTCTATTTATAGGCTATCATGATTACCGCACAGTACCCCAAACTTTTGGATTGGTATCACCAGGAGGAATTGAGAATTCAGATTCCATTTGGTCGGCTTTGGCTTTCATGGATGGGACAAATGTTGTGCGCAGAAACAGACTGGTTCAAACGTACTCGTAGCCCGTCGGATCAAGACTGATTCGCCATGCCAAGATCCAAGTGGTTTCCGAAATTCAAAAAGGACAGGGATGTGGGTAAATTGTGACCGATATCGTGGATAAATTTTGAATTTTGCCCTTAGGTCCTTAGGTACCCTTCATTTACACCCCTGGTAAGGAGCTTCCACGCGTGGATGGCAAGGTGTTTGTGATCACCGGCACCACTTCGGGTACGGGCTTTGTTGCTGCCTGGGTTGTGGCGGAACTGGGCGGAGAGGTTCTTCTGCTGAATAGGCCATCTCAGCGCGTAACCGATTCCATGGAGAAGCTCAAGGAGACTGTTCCAGATGGAAAGTTCAGCAACTGGTTGGTGATTTCAGATAGACTCTCTCTCTATATTTATATATATAATATATATATAATATTATATATAATATTATATAATTAATGTTCTTTTTACATGCAGTTTTATTTTCCATGCATGCTATATTTTGGACAATGATGTTCTATTTATTTCTCGCATAGATTTACGCTTATATTTTTTACAGGGGATGAGTGTGTCAGCTACCAGGCAACATCGCTTGCGACCTGCAGGATTTCGAGAGTGTCCGCAAGGCGGCTGCCGAGATCAAATCGCAGTACTCGAAGATCTACTGCCTTGCGAACAATGCAGGCATCATGGCAACGCCGGACAGAGCAACGAAGGTTGCTGGGTTGCAATCCTTAAGTTACTATAGAATATGATTGTAACATATCATGATATACTACTACATATAATAAATATACATCTAAACACATTTTATGATATGTTACAGCATATTACAGTTTTATATATTATTATATCACACTTTAACATATTATGGCGTATTATAGCATTATAAAAATAAAAAAACGTAAAACATAATATCAATGTCATACAACAACTCTTTTGATAAGTAAGGCAACAACACTCTACCCAGGATTTATGGTGGAGATATCTGGATAGTTTACGGTGCTAAATGTTTATAAACTCACCTTTCAGGTAGATGATTGCCATTTTGAGGGAAGAACTGCCTCAGATCTGGGGTGTTTTTGTTGCAATCCGACGAAACCAGGATGGCTATGACACCCAGATGCAGACGAACCACTTATCTCATTTCCTGCTCACAGCAGAGCTTTTCCCGTTGCTGGAGGCTGAGGCCGAGCAAAATGGGGACGCTCGGATTGTGAACCATTCCAGTCTCGGCCGCCTTCACACCGTGAACAAAGGCCTGGAGGAAAAGTACTTTGGGAAAAATGGTGGCAATTTGGGTGGTGATTCCATCAAATTGATGGGTGGAGCTTGCTATCATCGTTACTTCCAGACCAAGTTGGCCAACTCGGTCTTCACTTATGGTCTGCACGAGAAGTTGAAGCTGCGAAACTCCAAGGTCCGTGCTCTTTGCGCACACCCCGGGGGATCGGCGACGAATCTGGCCAATGGTTTGAAGCATGGCTGCTGCGTGGACTGCTGCCTTGCATGTCTCTTGACGAATAACGGCTCTGATGGGGGATGCCCATGAAAGCAACCATTAAACCACCATCAAAACAACCAAACTTCAAGAATTCGAAGCACAGATGATTATCCATCAAACTTTGGGAACTCTATTTGCAGATAAACCTAATTGGGAAGATACAGTAGCGTCTGAGATATGTTTGGCAAAAACCTGACATATCCTGAAATCACATGGACCAAGGTCTTATGCCCTGCTTCGCCCAATCACCGGAAGATGGGAGCATGGGGCTGGTGAAGTGTATGGTGGCTACAGACGCTCAAAGTGGCGTGCTCTACGGCCCCAAGAATTCTGGCCCAGCAGGTCCGGCCGTGCCGAATCCACCCAAAGCCTATGAGACCGACCCCAAAGCGATCGAAATGCTGTGGAGGACCAGTGAAGAAGCCACAGGTGTTGGATTTTGAGGTATGAGAGCGTGTACTTAAACTTGGGATACAAAGTATACTCCAATATTTGCAATTGAGGCGCGTCAAAAAACCTCGGGTAAGGATATAGAATTGATTTAGATATAATTACTATATATTCACCCCGCTTCGCGTGGGGTGGCCGCCCACACCGCAGGTTTATTTCGGTCCGTGAGAGGGGCTAAGGGTGGTTTTCCCCCGTGGGGGCTCCCCAAGCTAAGAATTTTAACTTTCCCCCGCCGTGGGGGCTCCCCAACCTAGGGAATTTTCACTTTTCCCCCCCGTGGGGGCTCCCCAAGCTAGGGAATTTTCACTTTTCCCCCCCGTGGGGGCTCCCCAAGCTAGGGAATTTTCACTTTTCCCCCCCGTGGGGGCTCCCCAAGCTAGGGAATTTTCACTTTTCCCCCCCGTGGGGGCTCCCCAAGCTAGGGAATTTTCACTTTTCCCCCCCGTGGGGGCTCCCCAAGCTAGGGAATTTTCACTTTTCCCCCCCGTGGGGGCTCCCCAAGCTAGGGAATTTTCACTTTTCCCCCCCGTGGGGGCTTCCCAAGCTAGGGAATTTTCACTTTTCCCCGCCGTGACAGCTTCCCAAGCTATGGAATTTTCACTTTTCCCTCCCTTGGAGGCTCTCCAAGCTGCGGAATTTCAAATAGCTAGACAACGACGCCTAGATAGTCCCCCAAATCCCGTGTTCTTTGAATGTGTTTCCATGTTTTTGCAATGGTTTCCTTCAAAGCACGGTACTTTACACTTTTGTCGCCATAAAACCGGTCGAAAACATCATGTTCGACAATGCTTCCAATTCCCTTATCTCCCCAACCGTTGAAAATACCGCTATTTACAGTGTTTTCTTCAATTTTTCCATGTTCCAATGCCGGTAGCCAACTCCAACATATATATAAGAAATCCTTCCAAAACATTGTTTTTGACAGTGTTTTTCCAATGTTTCCAGTCAAACAGACGGTAATTTACACGTTTTTTGCCATAAAGGCAGTAAATCCTTCCAAAACATTGCTTTTGACAGTGTTTTTGTAATGTTTCCAGTCAAGCATACGGTAATTTACACGTTTTTTGCTATAACGTCAGTCCAAAACACTTGTTTTTGCAGTGTTTTCAATGCTCTGGCATCCAAAAACCCTGCAAAATCTTGCTATGTACAATGTTTTTTTCATTTTTGGCCGTTTTTCCATTGCCGGAAAGCTACCAAAATGACCCAAAATTCCATTTCAATACCCTCTTGCGCTCAGACACCCAAAAATCCTCGAAAAATGTCGAAAACACCACCGTATTCTGGTCTCGGTGCGAAACCGTTTTTGGGCCCCCCCCCCAGCTAAAGCTGATATAGCGACTGCTATATTAACAAATGTCATTGAGCATTTAGTGTTGCTGTTTTGCCCCCCAATAAGTAAGCACGCCTTCACCGCCAAAGCGGTGTGGGCGGATTTAAATAGAGTTCATTTGGGTCCCATGAGACTAAAGTGAAAATTACATGTTTTGACCGGGGCTTACACTTGGTTCCAACGTGTTTTCTGCACAAGAAAGCTTCGCGAAAGCAAAAACCCGCACTTTGAAAGTGCTGGGAAAGTGATCGTGAAAGTTACTAGCCAGTATAAATGTGCAGCCAAAGTATTTGACGGCCCAATGCGCTTTCAGTCTCACGCTTCCTTTGGAGCTGCATGCCCGATGTACTGCTTTGCTCAATATGCTGAGCCCAGACTCTGAGACATTTGCAAGTCAGCTGGAAAAGAGTGCTGGCAATATCTGGCAAGACCAATAACACAAGAATGCGGGTTCCTGTCGCGTTTGTTCATCTTGGAATAGGTGGACTGCCCTGCTTTCACAGTCAGTCCCTAGCTTTCGGCCAGGTGATCATCCTCATCAAAAACCAGTGGGGGAGCTTCGGGTTCCACACCTTGTGCCTCTTTTGCATCCCATATTGATAGTGATTGTATAGCTACAATATATTATATATACGTATATATACGTATATTACATGCAGTATATTGTGTATAGTGAAGTGTTCGCTTCAGATTTGTCACACTAATCTACCCTAGATAGTTTGGCCTGACCACTTGGTGCCCTCGCTCTTCCTTCAAAAACCTACCATCTATCCCACAACGTATCCTACATTTGGGAGTCCAAGTCTCCATATGGGTGCTTCTATATTGCATCCCATATTTACAATACCAGCATCATATAGCATGATAGCATGTCAGCTCCATCATCAATGCTTGCTTCTTGAAAAGTCTTGGCTTTATGTGTGACATAGATTCCTGGCTGAAATAACTGATAATTTCAATAACTTTCAAATCTTTCAATACAGTCTTCTTCTTCTTCTTCTATTTTCCTTGCGCCAGTTTCCTTTGCTATGCTGCATTCAGTGCATCAGGGGGTAGTCCAGATGAAGGCAAGATACCGTAACTCACTGGAGATTGTTGATAGTCCCAGTGCATTGTATCACGAATCACAATACTTATATAATCTTATATCATCTTATATCTGCGGTTGCATGATTTCTCAGTTGTTCACATCAACTGACATTATGCGCGAATTGTTCCAGCACAGTTCCCAGGCCAAAAAGGGGCCTTCGGACAGCAACTTGACCCGAGGTTTGGGTCGTCACAGCAAAGGCTTTGAACATCTGTTGGAGGCTGGAGCCCTTGGCTCCAAGAAACACGCGGGGGTGCTGCTGCCAGCTACTTGTAATTATATAAGTTGATTGATTGCTAGTCTAACTCTAGTTATACTATGTTATAGTCATTTATACATGGTGAAGCATATATATGTCATTTTTACAAGTCAAAGCCTAGTTAATCGAGTGAAGTCAGCAACTTCACCAACTATGGGGCATCACCTTGTGGCCTGGGGTATCCTGGTTCCGTGGGGGTGTCCAGGAGATCCAGGCAGATCTCAAAGTCATGGTAGTTTTGAGCTTTGGGAACGATGGAACCTCCGGAAATCCCCATGACACAATGTAGGGAGTCCATCTCCTCAACTCACCTGATGGAGATCGGAGGTGAATGGTGCAGGTCTCAAGCTTCTTTCGCAGACACCGGCAGCTTTTTAGCTTGTTATTTTTCTCCAACCCCCTGCTTTTTTGCGACTCTTGTCACCAATTTCTATTAAAATATATGTGGTGTGTATATGTGCGTTGTTTGTAATTACTGTTTCATACTGTTTCAGAACTCTGCTGGCTCAAAGATGCCCATTATTGACTGGAAAACCCACATGGCAAGCAACTGGTTTATCACCTCTCTCGATCTTGGACATGTTGAGCACGTCGGCAAAGGTTCCTTCACTGCAACTCCAAATGTGACGTGTCTTAGCTCCATGGATTGGCTTAAGGTAAAATTTACAGCAAAGTCCCATATTTAATGGGAAAATCTATGGTTTCCTGTAGATTTTCCCTTAAACCAATCCATTGATTAGCAAAATGGCAGAGTTGCTGGTATGAACTCATCATCGACAGCTTGGCAGGTCGCCAGAGCTGAACTGCCACAGTTACCAGCGCTTCCCAACGAGCCCCGACGGGATGCGTCAGAGGGCCTGGGGCCATTGGGCCATTGGGCTGGTGATGTGCAGATCATTGTGGTTGGTCTGAAAATTCATGCGATGTTTAAAAAACATTGCAACTTTCAAGATGAGCTTCATGGGGAAAAGTATCATAAATCATGATAAGTCACTACAGTCTAAGTATGCCTAAATATAACTTAAAGATACTTCAAAGGGATAGATAAACCCATAATCATGGGGTTTTTAGCGTGCGCCAACTTTGGACAAGCCCATGTGAAAACCATTTTGCCAACCAGGGCTTGAGCCGGTGGAGCTGGTACCTAGAGGTTTCCAATAATGGGGGTACCCCCAAATCATCCATTTATAGAAAGGATTCTCGGTTATAAACCATCCAGCTATTGGGGTACCACCATGTATGGACACCCCCACATCATCAGTAAACATGGTACCAATCCAGACAGCTACCATGCCCTGCCAGGTCGCGAAGGCCAAGTGCATCGTTGCCACCGACAGTGCCTCGAGTCAGGCGGGGGCAAGAGGGAAGGGGCTGATAGTGGGTGATGATAGCTACTAATTAATTACTTGAATATCCATTTACAGTAACCGGTATTTCTGGGGAGTATGAGATTTCAAAGTATTAGATATTTGTTGAACTTGTTGGTTGAATACAACGTAGTCCAAACAATTGGGGTTGCTGAACGTGGGGGAGGGGTAGGCAACATTATCCAAAATTGGCGATTTTGATTGTAATTGGCAACAATGGATTTTCATCGGCACCCCAAGTTGACAGGATATGAGTGAATCGTATGATCAACATGGGATGAAATGAGGTTTAGGTTTCATATCAGGACAGCCACATAGCACAGTATAGTCAACCCTCCCATGTCCGCGTGCGCATTTCTCATTCAAACCTGCGGCTGATTTAGGGGTGTATTAAAAGGCAATAATAGCTGAACAACCGTCAAAACTCGCGTTATGGAAGATATGTATTCGCTGGACATTGGTTGTCATAAAATGCAAAAAACTGAGGTTAGCGATGGGACCTTTCCAAATAGCGATACCCCCATTTGAGATGTTTCATTTGCGCCCCACAGTTTTGGGCTCGGGGTTAGTTGCGCAAAGCACTGTTGTTGCTATGTGTTTCAAGTACAATCTGTTTTGAGCCTTCTTTTGGATGTTTTAAGAACTAGGTAGCCCCATAACAGGCCCCAAAAGAGGTCTGAAACCAGTTCGAAACATCTTCCTGCTCACCGTCTCAAGACTTGTTCTTTCTCTCTGTCTCTTTCTCCCTTCTCTTCTTTCTTTTCTCGTTTTTTTCCTGTTTTTTCTCCAAAGCTGAGGTAGCCTAAGGACAAGAAGAGGTCTGAAACCACTCTGAAACACCCCGCTGCTCACCATTTACAACGCTCTCTCTCTCTCTCTATCTCTCTCTCTCTCTTCCCCTCTTCCTCTCTCTGTCTCTCTCTCTTTCTCTCTCGCCTTCTATT